GACTTTAGGGATTACATTGCTGGTCTTGAAACGAAGCCGCCTTCGGAATAACGAGGGAAGGGGTCGAACTACAACAACGGACTTAGAGTTGACTCGAAGGAGCTAACTGTTGAAAATTACGCACATGCACCAACCTTTTGTTCCATGCAAATTAAATTTGAGATATGGTGGAACTTTGGGAAAAAGGGATTTAATGAAACATTCTGCATGTTGAAATAGAGGATCAGAGTCGTGTATTCTTCGTTGATTGTCAGCTTGGGATGGACCCACTTCAGGGATCTCTTCTAAGAACGATTGCGTTGGCTGCCAATGCTCAGGAAAGGCGTTATTTGAGCGCGTAGCCACGAGGTCATAACATGGAAGATTGCTTTGATACCCTATTAATAATCAAAGAAAGTTAAACCCACACGTCAATACGCATTCAAAACACGATTTCTTTGCTTCCCCTTTAATTGTCACCTTTAGCATACCGTTGTGTTGGACTGATTGGCTGAGATCAATCTAGATCGAAAAAACACGATCCCTTATTTTATTAATCTCACCGACATATTCAGATACTTCCCACCTTTGAATTCGATTTCATTGAGCGGATAAGAAATGGGGATTAGATACACTAGTCTTTATAATTTAAAACCCATTAATTTTGGAGAGTTCAAGACACGCTCCTCCTTTGGCATCCACACAAAGCATTTCTGATTAGTTTTTAGGTAACTTCAAAGTGTAGTCCAACTAATGTTTCATCGATCTAATTTGAACCAAGTTTAAGCAATGCATGCTAAATAGTGTAGCGTTGCATGCATCGACCGTACAAACAGTGACCAATCATTAACCACTATTTGTTTAACCTAATCCGCCATCCTGATCATGATTAAATGTACACTATATCCACAATACCCGTACCGAATAAACGTGCTCCGTGCTACACGTCTGTTTCCTTTATAAGGCTATAGCTTAGCTGCAACACGTCTGTTTCCTTTATAGCTGGGCTATAGCTTAGCTGAATTATACGTCTGTTTTCTTTATAGCTGGGCTATAGCTTAGCTAGTTCGGGAGTCTAGCTAGATGTAGGAGAATCTGCCAGAGATTTCTCGGGAGTCTAGCTAGATGTTGGAGAATCTGCCATAGAGACTATCTTGCCATAGAGATTTCTGAGCCGGTCAGGCTTTACTAAGGTAGCAATCCGTTACAATTCTCAACCGGTCTGGCTTTACTAAGGTAGCAATCCGCTACAAGTCTTTAACCAAGGCTTTACGAAGGTAGCAATCCGCTACATGTTCGAGACTTGCGTAGCAATCCGCTACAATAGAAAATGTGCATTTTAAATTCTTTTCTGAGAACGATGTAAAAATGAGAAGCCAAAATTGGCTTAAAGTTATTTTATTCCAAGTGAATCACGATCCGTCGCGATGTAAATACGGGAAAGTTATTACTTTTTATTTCTCCTAAGCAACAAGTTACTCTTTCAAACAGAGTAAAGACCGATATTTAATATAATGAAAGGATTAAATGACTGAAAACAATTTAGTAGGTTAATTTTTGAAAGAAAAACTAACAAAAATGTCTTATTTAGGTCATTTCAAAAAACACTGACATATTTGTCCACAATCACTTACACATGATTTCATGCAGTTACTATTGAGTTAAATATGTCTAACTTATTTTCATTATATCAAGATAAATACAAAATGACAACATTTCATACTCTGCACCTTTGCTTCACTATCTGAATAATAACAATATAATAATTATCAATTAAAGTTTTCAAATATTGCTCTGTATACTTCATGATCG